AATTTATATTCCTCAATTTTGTCTCAACCAATTTCATTACTTTAGTTTAAAACTATCAACCAATCATTCATCAATTGTGTAGATAAAATAGAAGTTGTATTATTATAGTACTTAGTGGAATTAAATTACAATCCCTGTAGGTTCGACATCCTAACTTTCATACTATATTACAAAACTTGACACCGTACACTTGTGGCATAAATTCACGTTATAGAAAACATGTGACACATTTTTTGTCAAAAAAATTACCTTGTTTACACTTATTCAATTAACAACAACTCGTAGTAAATTATTGTTGAAAGTAATAAAGAAATTAAATTATTTAATTTCCAATTCTCACATTCGTTATAACTATGCAAATTAAATATGAATATATTAATAGACGAACAAAATGAAACATTCTAATAAAGAAACGAGACTATATGATTGTGACAAGAAAATAAGAAAAGTCAGCTTATATAAAAGGGACGAAGATAATAATGCGTTTAATCCAAGAAATTGAATTGAAACATATTGAATTATCTTGGTATACAATATAATTTTTCAGAATGTAGAATCTTGTGTAAAGTAGCAATAACCAGGCAGAAAATGCTATGTGTACATTTGTGGTATACACAGTTTCACACTCCCCTCACATGAAGGGGGCCCACAAATATTTTATTGTGTGTGGGCCTCCCCTCCATGTGAGGGGGGTGTGAAATTTTGTGTAGATCATTATGTACACATAGCACTTTCCTAACCAGGCAATATGGTATGGGCAGTTATATCTGTTGTTTTTCATGTTTGTTAAATTTCTTCTTGGAGATCAAGCTTGGTGTTCATGAGCTTAATGTTTGTTTCTTTGTCATATTGAGCTTGATTACAGATATCATTCCAATTCCCAGTATGACTTCCACCCACCCATGAGTCTATAGAAAACAAAGGTTCCGATCTTGTAGGTTTCTAGTTTTGAGAATGAGGCTGTCCTTCAGGGGTGCAACATCCGTCTACTTGTGAAGGAGTTGAAGTTTTTCTCTTAAAATTCAGCTTTTAGACTTTTCTCCATGTTTTGAACCTGTTTGATTTAGATTAAAATTAGATTTTAATAAACATTGATGAAACTTAAGATCAAAAAATTGTGAATCCCATCAAAAGTGTGATAAAAATTAATTGACCTAGCTTATTTAGGGTACCAAATATTTACTTTATTTAAAAATGGAAATGATTAATCTTTTGAACATGCGAAAACTACGGCTCTTGCACAATCAAAATCTAGTAGCTTCATATTAGTTTTAAGTCTCCACTTTTTAATATAACAAAATATAGAACTTTCCTCCTCCAAGAAGTTTTCTTTTTCCTCTACATTTTATTGTTGGTTTTGCTCTGTTTTTCCTGGAGCTTCTATTACAGGCTTTACTGTATTCTGTCATTGAAAGTTATTTAGTCCTTTATCTGATCATCCCTTAGCAATTAATTTCCTCTTCTCAGTTTTCCCTCTAAGCTTTAATACCCCCATAGAATCATTCGGTTTAATATTGGCCACATTGCATGTGACGGTTCTTTGTAATTTTTTTTTTTTTTTTGCTTTATATTGTTTAAATGTGTTTTTAGGTATTTTATGATTTCATGAGTTATGAGTTATGATTTATGAATTATGAGTTATTTGAAAATTTGAGAATATGTGATGTTAAGGGTGTGTTTAAATCACATTATTTTGAAAAAATGTATTTTGAAATAGTCGACTGATTGAGAATATGTGGTTGAAAAAGAATAAAAAGTTATTGATATGATGGAAAATATTATTTTATTGAAAAATGTGTGATTGAAAATGAGTAGAAGAATGAGAATAAAATTTTTAAAGTGGATCAAACAGTGGCTTTTTAGCAGAAGTGTACTGTGATTTTTTGAATTGGAAAATGTTAAATTGGAGAATTTATGATTTTTAATAAATTGGTATTGGAAATTGAAAATTGAAACTTAAGTCGTATTTTAAAATTACGTGGAGAAATATATTTTTCAAAAAGTTGAGAATGAGACAATCTTGCAGCGATTTCAAAATACGAGATCTCGGAGAATGCAATTGTCTGAATTTATAGTTACAGAGTGAGGTTATATCATTTATTTTATATTATTATTTCGGATTGTACTACATTATATTTTCATATAAATATATAATTTTTACATTTTAGTACATTTATATATAGATTGAAGAATTTTTAATATTATTTAATTTAATATTAATAAACGACATCGCTATTAGAGTCGTTGATTGTCGATGGTCAACGACCGCCCTAACTAATCTGAAGTCCTGGATCCACCCATGTGAACACGTGTACATGTTGGTGTAACGATTGCAAGTATGGAATTTTTATGGAAAGAAAATAACTTCTAGACAATTGCATGAAAATTATTAATTAAATTTGTTTGATCGATTTAATTTTCAACCATGGATGAACCCAAATGAGGTCATGTCCAAGTGACCCCACAAATTGTTTTGATTTTTTTCTCCAATAAATCCATAGTTGTTTTGAGCCCTTCACAACAGGATACAACTTTTCTCAAATTTATATATTATGTGAAAAAACCTATAATTGTCATTTTACGGCTTACTTTGACGCACTCATTGTGTGATGTCAAATAAAGTCAAAACATTGCATTCTTAATATCATTTTGAATTGCTTACGGTCTAATTTTTTGCTTGTTCATGGCGTGCTAAATGACCAATCGTAGCAAAAGCTACGATGCGTTAATGTAGGTCGTTCTAAATTAGTATTTCGAGAATTTTGATAATTTGCTAACTTTAAAAGTTCGCCGACGATCATACGCTAGCCGAATCCACAAAATTACCTATGTCATTTAGAAATTCGTTTCGAGAACTATATCGTAGTCATATCGAATGATCCAAACTAATATCGAAAATAATTAAACATGCATCTAACGTATGTCTCATAAAGAGACGTTTAATTCGTCTTTTCTTTAAAAAATTTCAATTATTTAATTAACATTTATTATTTTTACACGATAAATTTATCAATACAATTTACATAATTTTATTAGAAAATTTTATATGGAATATGATATAAAAAATTTTAGAATCATTACAGATTAAATGTAATTTGAATTACTTTTGAATTATATTTGCATTAGATTTGAATTTTATTTCAATTCATTTCCTACATTCAAATTGATTTACCCATCACCAACATCTATCAACGAGTGGTAAACAAGACTATACAAGTAGCAAAATCTATTTGACAATGGTGTAATTATACGACATTTTCAAAGTATTAAGACGATTATTAACTTATTTTCACTAATAATATGTTTATTTTTGAAAGGTACATTTTAATTTTTGACCCCACAACATAAAAAGTCGGGATCCGTCTCTATTTTCAACTTAAAAAATATTATGCTTGTTCATCTTTTATTGGTAGGTAAATAAGATGGAGTGAATTGTCTAGAAAATAAAAATATAAACATTCCTAAAAAAAGTATTTTCCTTATTTTTTAAGGAAAATACAATCACACAGCCAACTTTTGAAAAATATTTTTCATTAAAACAATATCAATCAAACACTCAAAAAATAGAAACATTGATGAAAAATAACATTTTTAATGTGAAATAAGATTTTGTTTTTGTATGACCATCTTCTCAGTCTAACGTCCTTGAATTTTTTAATCTAAAATAAGATGAGAAAACGACATAATATTAAACAAACAAGTCCTTATTGTTTCGACCAGGAATAGCCGGTGGTGTTATAATGTGTCAGGGGAGACAGAAGTTGACGACGTTTAGTTGGTGTCGATAATGGATTGGGTAAGCAAGTAACAGTGTTTGCTTTGTTAGGTGGAAAGTTGCTCAGTTTTTATGGGGAAGTGGGCCTGTCGTGCTATTTAAGGGCAGAATAGGATCAATCAGGGGTCGGCGCATTTTAAGCTTGATTACCTTAGTTGTTACAGAGCACACAATTGCTCCCTTAAAACTTGAAATTGTAATTAATTAGACAAATACCATGAAAGAAGCAATATTTAACGGAGAAATGACAGCCTCGGTCCTCGCACTAATATCCTGTTTCAGCCCCCATTTTTTTAAGTATGTATTTTTTCAAAATTTATTTTTCAACCGCACGTTCCCCTATCAAATAATTATACACACATTTCAATAATTTTATCTTACTTTTTAACAACATATTTTTCAAAAAATTATAATTTCATAATACATTTTATCCCAAAATTAGGAATCAAATGAGTGATAAAAATGAAAAATTAATTAAAGCCTCGTCTATCTGACTCAGCTCATAACACGTCTAGATTGTTTACTGGATAATTAGCGCAACATCCCTTATTATTTGCCTATTTTGTTGAATATTTTCTTAACATTTCGTTTTGACATAAAATCTCCTAGACCATCCAAACGTTGCGAACTACAACATTTTTTTTGGCATTTTTCCTTGTAAAATAATGAATTTACCATTCTCTTTAAATAATAAAACAGAAAAATAATTGCATCCATAACTCAAAATTTTTAAAAAGTGCAATTGAATCCTAATTAAAAGATTTAATTTTTTTTTTAAAAATATTTCTCCTCCTCCACCACCGATCTTGCTTGTATAAAAAATTTCCCGACAAGTTCTAACCGTCTCTAGTTAGTTCTGCTGGCGTAATGCCTCATTGAAGAATCTTAAAGCAAAATCGTGTTCTTCAACCGCAATTGAAGAAAACATGTCAAAGCGTGAATGATATAATCTGATTCACAGATCAAGTTATTTGGCGTGAGTTAAGATTGGTAAATCTTAATCCAAGTGGTGGTTGCAGTCGAATACAATAGTGAAGTGACAATAAAGTCAAGACCAGAGAGTTTGATTCTGCTTCTACAACATGTCAAAAGAAGAAGAAAACCAACGAGTTGTTCTTAGATTTCTTTTGATTGCTTTTTTTTTTTTGTTAACTTTGCGAAATTACATAATCTAGGCTATTATATGTTTGATCGTTTGATTTAGTAGATTAATTTACTCGTAGTATAGGGCCCGTGGATATTTCCATGAGGGGTTTACACGTTATATTTGGTGTTCATGTCCGTTGGTTTCCGTATTTGATTAAATCTCGTAGAATATTAGTTTGTTAACTCACGTCAGTCATAACTATGTTTAAAATTGCCTGTATGACACTCTGAATGATTTATTTCTGAAATTGGTTATCACCTTTGAACACAAATTAATCTACTCTCTACAGTCAGAAATGGAGATGAAATTAGTTATAAAATATGCTAACTGTCTGTTGTGTACTGTATACACTGGATAATTAATGCATAATTTTTAATTATGGAATGACATAATTAACATCTTATATAACCAAAATAAGGTCCAGAACGTGGAGAACCGTTATTCTATCATGGAAGTGACAACGAACAACAGCTTTAGAGAGAATTAACACAAGTAATTGAAGATTCAAAGCTCAAATAGAAGGAAAAGTGCAAGAAACTGATTTGTCAAGCTTATACATCTATTCTTTGAATTGGGTGATGTATTTTCTTAATTTCTTGTGTAATTTAAATATAATTATGTTAGGGTAAACTTCTCTTTCAAGACTTGAGTATTTTAGTCGATTCTTGTGTTTTGTAGTTAATTATGCATACTTATTGCATTATTTGATTGTTTAGTTACCAATTAGATAACTTGTTGCTTATTGTAATGTTGGGAGACTCACAATAGACTAGAACATTGTATAATTGACACATAGGCAATATGTGTTAGGAATAAAATTTATGGTTCGTGCAATCGTGTGTGATAATCATATGATTGAATGCTTCTTTTGCATATGAATTCATACTACGAATATAATCGGGTAGTACTGAGGACATGTTTAATATATCTTGGAAAAAAAATTAGATATTAATGAAATATCAATTATCACGAACAATTGAAAAACACTAAGGGTCCGTTTGATTGCAAGAATAAAATTTGGGTAGAAAGAAAATGAATTCGAGAGAATTGAATTACCTAGAACTTGTTTTAACGGGAATTGTCAATTAATTGTGTTTGATTGATATAAATTTTTACCTGAAAGTTCGTTTGACTTTGTTTTTCATAAAAATTGTCAATTAAAATCAATTTTGTTTTTTGTTTTTTTTTTGTTTTTTTTTTTACAATTGGGGATATAATTTGTTTCNACAAGAAAAAAGTTGGGACTTGAAAAATAATTTCCAAGTTCTGTGGAAAATAGTAAAGATCAAACAGGGCCTAATTTACCTTAGTTTAGAATTGGGTAATTAGCAGAAATAGTCCCCAACGTTTACACTCTTTGCTAAAATGGTCCATATCGTTTTAAAATTGGCATTTGTACCTTATGTCAAACGTTTCTTGTGGAATTGGTCATTTCATCTATAAACCGTTAAACATCCGTTAGAACCTTTTGGTAATTTGCAGAAATG